CGGTGAGACCCACTGAAAGCGGGCGAAAGCACAGAGAGAGGATGGATGACTCAAATGCAGCTGCCTGCCATGCTTTCCACACATCCTCATTACTCACAAAGCAGACATCTTGAGCTCCAGGAGGCCCCGGGTACTCGAGCCTCGCTGTTCAGCCCCTTGTTTCTGGCTGCGGGAGAGCAGCTCAACATAAAGCTTGTCATTCTTTTCCATTTAAACAGCATGTGGTTTTGCTTGTTTAGACCTAAAGATATCTTCCATCTTACATACAAACTCTGAAAAGGTCTTTGTCTATAAAACAGTTCCAGTTAAGTCGTCTCTTTTTTGCCCATTGCTTTTTTTTTTTGCAGCAACAGCAATGAAGAACTCTGCAGTGCAAAAGTGAAAGAATGGCATCAATTAGAAGGCTTTAAAGAACTTTCCTCCTTACCACTTCCTTAATTTAGCATCAAAATAACTGACTTTACTGTAAACCCACAGACAGAGATCAAAAAGTCATGCAAGATGATTTTGAGGAAGTGGACTCCGAGGGACCTTCCAAAAAGGATTCCATTTTAAACGCAGACAAATGTCCTTTAGCCATTTACAGTAGTGTGATTTGGTCTAACCAGAGATGGAAAGTTTTCTTACTTTTTTGTTTTAACATCAAAAGAACACTTAATCAACAGTTTTTGTTTTGTTTTGGTGCAGTGTGTTTGGTCAGCAAGATAATCAATGAATCATTATCTAATATTGTACTATTACAAGAGAGGAACATACAAGTATAGTCTCACAATGCACCTCCCGGACTGGCTTTACAACATTTGTCACGGTTGTTCTTGCCGAGTGAAGGACAAAGTTCTCCATGCAGCGAGCACGGGCCGGGTCGAGGACCCGTCAACAGATCGGCCCTTTGTTCGGAGAGCATCTTCGGTGCATACTTCACGTACTGTAGCCACTCCAAAGGGAAGTCTAACCTGTTCTGTGTGGCCACCATTTTTTGGAAAGAGAACAAATGCTAAAAATGCGCACACATTGTTCTCATTCCTGGAACAGCCTGCAACATAATATGCAAACGACTCGATTGTCTCTTTTCCAGCATGAAATAACTGAGCTCTGGTGGAGCTCTAGGAGCGCTGTTTACTTTCTTTAGCAGAGCCGCTCCAAATGGAAGTGATCCACTCACTACATCTCACTGAGATAAAAGGGTGGGCCCTCCATTAGCTTATTCAACCACTTAGGCTTACAGCCCTGGACACTTTGGATGTTTATTCAAAAGGAAAAGAAAAAAAAAGAAAAGGGAGGATGGAGTTACATTTGTACAGTCGCTGCTCAGTTTAAGAACGGCTCTGTGTTTGATAAAGATGAAGAAATTAGAAAGAAAAAAAAAGAGAAACAGCTTCAGGATACACAGTTAACAAAAGCCGTAGTGTCTGTGAAAGTTTTTTTTTTTTAAAGTTCAAAAAGTTTCAACAGCTCCCTTTATTGCTCTAAAGTTGAGAAATTAAGATCCAGCCATTTAGGGACTGGCATGAGTATCAAGCTAACGCCTCAATTACGAGAATCGTGAATAAAAAGAAGGCATGTCGGAGAAAGGGACACAGGAGGGCACAGAACCCACAACTAGACTGAATTCTGTCCAGTTCTGGCCCCAACATCTGGTCCTTATAGAAGGTATGGACTCATTTCAAAAGCTAAATCCCAGCAAAAGAATTCAAAAGAAGACACGAGTATAACATCAACCTGCTGAGGTCAAAAGCTGTCCTCAGCTGGCCTTTGGTGGGAGTTAGTTCTGGATGAGTGGGGCTGGGGCTCTTATCCAAGTTGGTCCTTTAAGCAGAGCTGGGTTTGGCGTTGGGTCGAATAAAAAGACAAGGATGCTGACACACCCCTCTGGTTTGTGGAGGGAAAATGAATGAAAACTAGTCATAGCCCGTGGGAAATATTTGAGGGTTTTAATTGCTCTTCGACCTCCTAACCGACACTCCTCTCAGTAGTGACAACCGTTAAAAAAAAAAAAAAAAAAACCCCTGGCCACATCAAAAAACTAAAAAAAATAACAAACATTTAACTGCTTACAGGCTACATTTGAAGGCTTTTGAAAGTTAGCGGAGGTCTGAAGTGACCATCTCAGACAAGGAGTCGTTAACGAAGACAGTAATTACAGTACGGCACAATTAATCTAGTTGGAGCTTTGAATCGGCGGGTGTCTCATACTGAAGAAGACAGAACGAATAAATAAAGCACGTTGCGGTGCCAGACGCTTCAGAGTGAGCTTCAGCTCACACGTTGACCCAACTGTTCCTATGTGAACCGCAGCTGTGGGGGGGGGACCGACATGAGGCAGTGTGACGGCTTCACTTAGTCGGCTGAAGGCCGTTTAAGGCCAGCAGAAGCGTGTCTGTGGTTTAATCGATCCTTCAGTCCATCCAGCGGCCGCTCAACTCGGCCGGCGGCTGAGGCCACGACACCCTGAGGTTCCACCACCCCGCAGTGACATCACACCCCGGCTATGCCACGGTCTGAAGGAGGTTCTGTGGATTTAACAGCTGCTTTATTTCCTTTTGTTGACTCACTTCATTGACTTTTTTTTCTTCCCCCCCCCCACAGATAAGAGCTGCGGGCATTTTCATTAACCGGAAACAAAACTTGCATGCTTTTGACGGCGGGGGGTCGAAAGAACCCCCCCCCCCCCCCTCCTGCGAAACCTGGAAGCAATAACCGTTAGTGGGCTTCCTGCATTTCCCCAGAAGCGCAGCGTGCGCTGTTCTGGAGAGAAAACGAGCGCGAGAGAGGTGGGTTTGCCAGTACAGAGATGAACCCGGATAGGATATGGGTGCTTCAATAATGGAATCACCTGGTAAAGAATTTTTCAAACGAACTTCTAAAACTAAAAAACACAAAAAAAGAAGCCTACAGTTGCAGCGACTACATTTTTTTGTTCACCGGATACACGAGTGCCGCGACAGCTCGGGCGCTGTAATTAGTTGCTCTTCACTGGGGAGGAGTTGCATTTTTAGTCAAAGGAAACTGTCACGGGACAGAAGTGGGTCGATCCAAGACCCCTTGAGAAAAAAAAAAAAAAGCAAGCAACAGGCTGTCGCGCACAGGAATGTGCGTGAGAAAAGGAGCGGAGAGAAGGCACATGAGAGCACAGAGGGCGAGTAGCAACAAATGTATACGAGCAGCTGAGCCTGGGGAGGGCTGCGAGTCCGGGTTTTACTGGCATTAAATGATGCATACCAAAACAAGGCCTGTGCATCTAATGGCTCGGCCGACAGAATCAGCGTTTCGTTCCATTCATTTCAAGCAGTTGCATAACTGAGTCATCATTGTTCATCTGCCTGAGGAAATCTAATAAATCACAGATTAATAAAACAGGAGGCGGGCTCCTCGGGGAACGGCGAGTAGGGCTGAGGGCCAAATACTCCCATTGAGCAAAACCAATTTATTCCGGGGCCAGCTTTTATTGTTTGACTTAACGGCGTGCGCTGAAAACGGACCTAAACGGCTCCAAATGACTGTTATCTTACATCCCCGCCCCCTCGAAGAGTTGCTCCACTTTTGTGCTGGATTCTAATTCAAAACAGAACACATCTCCAAGTGAGCCTGAGCTCACACACAGAACAAGATATCTTGTGTCCTGTCGCGTCGGGGTGGGTTCTCTGACATGTGTTTGTCCTCAGCACACTCACAACAATGTCATGGGCTGACCGACCATTTTAATTAGAGCCGGTGATGGTTGCAATCAGGCCTGTAAGTGCCAGCGTGCCTTTGGATTGCCGCGACTCGGTCACAGTTCTGAGATTTACCACAGGCATTTTTTTTCAGCCGCCTCTCAGAGAACAAAAGGGCCAAACATCAGAGGCCAAGGGATTTCAGGACAAGATTGGTTATTCCAATATCCCGCCGTTCAGAGAAAATGCAAATACACCGGCTATTTGTCCCACTTACTAGCTCAGAAGGCGGTGGTGTCATGTGGGGGGGGTTATCCAGGGTTTTTGCCTGTGACATCAGAGCGTGAGCCGCTATGTTCTTGGCTTGATGTCAGAATATGGGCTAAGGTCCGTTTTACTTGTCACGGCTGCGGGAGATGCCGGAGAGTTAGCGATGGGGCTGACTTTGTCAAAAAGATTCGGCCCGCGTTTAGATAAAAACGCACAGTTACCCCTCGACAAAGCAACGTGCGACGTGGAAGACATCTGCCGCTGCGTAATCCAGCACAAAAACAGCTGCTGGCAGCACTGGATTTAGACCAGACCCCACGTGACCTCTAGGTGGTGATAATACTTTCTGAATTGAGACTGAATTGGGCTATTCCAGGTGAAGTTCTCGGGATAAAAGGGCAAGTATGGACCACTTGAAGACCGTTTATAGACATGCCAACAGTTGGCTGTCACTGTAGATGTCAGCATAGACAAAGACCCAAGTGTGCTGGCATTTTTCTTCAAATATATGGAAACTTTTTTTTTGAGGGGAGTACAAAAAGGAGATAAACCTAAATTGCTAATGAGTATGTATTTGTGGGCATCTACTCGCCAAATAGAGCACATTTGAAATAAGATTATTTACATTATAATAAAAACAAAAACAAATCTGTTCACAAGGAACAAGGAGAGTAAACCTCTCACAGGTGGGCAGCACGTCAAATCTGAGCTAAGCCAGTGCTTCAGCGTGGACAGCCACAACACGGCCCTGAGTCTCTTAGCTGGAGCAGAAGGCAGTCAGCGTCCTGCTGATTCAGTCTGGCCGCGTCACTGCTGCCAGGGGCCGAGCGGCTTACGGGCCTGCTATTGTGGAGCAGGTGTGTGTGCTCTATCTGTCTGTCCTCTCCAGGATGTCCTGTCCGCTTAACAGAATCTCCATAGTTCTCTCTACCGACCACTTTATTTATTTTTGTTCTATCTCCTACATTCAAGTACACAAACACACAGATTTACGCAGACAGATGGCGAGGAAATGGGTACTAGCTGTTCCCATCTCAAAATTGAGGTCATTACACACCATTTCGGCCCCTCCGCTCATTATCTGCCCATACTGATCCTGCTGGGATAAAGCAATGTTGGTAAACAATGATTAGATTGAAAAGTATAAGGCCTGAACACCACAGAAGAGAAATAAGGACCCAACCTTCTAACTGGCTGCATCATTCATAACAAGCACAGAGCCGAGCACGCTGATAAACACTGAGGCCTACATAAATACAGAACAGACTCTGCACGTGTGTGGACGCCAGCGCTCATCTAGGTTATTCTTGGCTCAAACATCACCTCTCCAGCAGCACCACTCACTGCTCGAGTGTGGCAACTTTTCAGCTCCAGCTCCGCGAGGGCTGTTTCGACAGACTCTAAAACAGAGTACTATAGGCGAGTCTGTGTTTTATAAGGTTTAAAGTTAGGAGGCTGGGAAACCAGCCCAATGCAAGTATGCTAACAGCCTCTCCTAAAATGGAGCTGAGAATAAAAACCGGCCCCTTACATTTGGGGAGTTATTCTCCTCTCGGCAACAAAACGCAGCTACTGCATGTCTCGTAACCGATCCAAGGGCTTGTTACCACCCTCAAACCAAACTCCCACTATGGGGTATATGTGTGAATGCATGTCTCAGACAGAAGTTTGTGTGTCTGAGCAGAAAACTTACTATCCGGTACTACACGAGTTGACAACCGATAATAAAAAAGAAAATTAATTAATCCATTTTCCTCATGTCTGCCACTTGTTGATTTGCTTTTTACCACTTTAAATCCACCCGTCTGATTGAATCTACTAAACAAGGCCAAAGATATCGAAACAAAAACAAAAAAAGACAAAGAAAAATGTAAGTGTTAAAGTGATTTGAGTACAATCAAATATCTTTGGTTCAAACATCAAATAAGTGACGTCTGCTAAAGAGGCCTTCTGCAAAACGCGGGGTGTGATCACACTGCTTAAGAATGAAACAGGTATGTACACAGAAATTCATAACTCAATCTGTCTATCATAACTGCTTTTTTTTTTTTACCTTATGAAACACAGGAAAAGACAGACTTGAAATGTGTTAGTAAAAATGTAGGGAACCCAGGTGTGAGAATGAGACAATTTTGCAACAAAAAACCTCCCATTACAACATCTTACCTGTCCTCATCCATATCCATGGTAATGCGGATGCCGAAGAAGCTGTTGACGGCTGGGTTGGCCAATTTGATGTCGCCGGTGATCGGAGGCTTAACGCCGTCTTTCAGTGGAACCATGCTGGCACTATGCTGAGGTAGAGCATCGATTTGCTGCCACCCATCTTCTGTTGGGTTGAAGAAGAGAGACGGATGGGCTTTTGTGGCCCCGCCGTGAGCCCCCTGGAGCTGGACAAGCCCTCCTTTGCCAGACGCCATACTGGACACAGCTGGAAGTATGTTGGATGTACTGGGCACTGTGGCAGGCACGTTCTGACCCCCGACGTGGGAGGTGGAGGTGGCGGAGGGTGCAATGGTGATGCCTAACCCTCCTGAAGGCTGAGTTTGGCTGACATGCTGCTGTTGTGTGCTTCCCGGATGGATGGGGACCATAGCTGACGCGTGTCCAGCCTGTTGCACGAGACCCGGCGCTGAGCCCGTTTCTCCACCCAGGCCTTGTGGTGCTGAACCAGCAAGGGGGATTTGAGGGGGGGATACCTGGCTGGCGGAGGACTCTACAGAGGAGGATGGTATGGAGAAGTTCTGAGTGCCGGAGCCAAAATGTTGCTGATGATAGTCTGGGTGACCTGAGGAGTGGCCAGTCGGACGAGTGGAATAGGCAAACTGTTGGGCCTGCGAGGCAGGAGGTTTAATGGGTGACTGCATTGCCCCTTGGTGGGCACCATTGAGACTGTTGGAGAGAAAGGATTGGGGAGAAACAGACTGCACATTGACCTGAGCCTGTGCTGCTGTCGGGGATGGAGTAACTGTACACCCCGTGTGCTGGAAGGCACTTAGTCCGCTCCCGATCTGCGTGGACAAGCCGTAGCCTTTCTGCAGGGACTCTGGCGGGTGGGAGTGGGCCGAGTGTCCAGCAGAGACAGCGTAACCGCTATCTGTGGTGGTCTCCAGCGCTTGTGCAGAAAAAGCACTGCCAGTGACGATAGAGTTACTGGTGGCCCCCAGCCCACTGTCCCTGTCCGTGCTGTGGTCAAGGGTGACAGTTGGCTTGATGCTGTCAACAGTCCGATTAACATCTGAATCTCTCTCATAGAACTCGGTACACGTCCATCTGCCCCGTCTGAAGGGCTCTCCGGTGCCGTGGTCAAGTTTAATAACCCTGAAACGGGAACTGCAACTGGTGCCGGGGGCTGTGTGAGCGCCACTGGAGGAGACAGCGGAGCTCGGAGCTGAGGGCTGAGCCGCGGCCGGCACAGGCACATTCCCCCCAACACCGTGAGGGGTGACACGGCCAGTGGGCGCACTTTTCACCGACAGCCCCCCGTTGACAGGACCTGCGGGCGGCTGGCTCTCCTGCGAGTCTCCGACGTGGTTCAAAAATTCCTCCGACGAGCTCCTGTCACCCACCGCCGGATCGAGCCGAGAAACGTCAAACATCTGCGATGGCCCGTCCTCCGTCCGCGACTCGTCCGGATATTCCAGGCTCTCGGTGTCGTCGGGGATGCTTTTCGCAGCACCCTCAGCCTGCGTCACACTGGTGATCTGGAAACAACTTTTCTTCTTTCCCGACATTTTCGACATAATGAGTACGAGGGCGAAGTCTTGTCAGCCCTCAGATGAAACGAAGTGCCGCACTAATGTCTTTCGAATGTATTTCACAGTCGTGGGATAAGATAAAGACACGTACCGTCACAGTACATTTCCATACCGTTCCTCTTTCGCTCTGCAGTCCCAGAAATGCGTAAAAAGCAAGGCCAGAACGCGAAACAACGTCCCAAAACGTCCAGCGTCCGGTCACGACACACAGGGTATAGCTGGCCACTCCAAAAGACCCGGGTCGGCCTTCCTTAGGTCCCAGCAGCGGAGTATAAAACCGACCAGGGTCACAGTTCTTGTTGAGCAGCTTCTACCGGTACTTCAGTCTGATGCGGGCCCAGTCACTCAGCCCACTTTTCTCTCTCTCTTAGCGATATAAATATACTTCTCAACAACTAGCCAAGTTAGCTGGAGTTGGCTAGTTTTCCCTGTCTCTGAAGAAGCATGTGCGACACCATGATGTAAACAAATTCAGAGGCTTTACAAAATAAAAACTAATCCAGCAAGAGATACAGTAAACGTATCAAAGTTGACGAAGTTTGCTTCTCGTCGTGAGGAGACCTCACTTTTGGCAGCTGCTACTAGCAGCTAGCTGACAGAAAACCACTTAACCACTGCGGCAGTAAGCTAACGGGCAGCTAACTCCTGCCTGCCGCTTAACCGCTCGACAAGATGGCAAGAGTGAAATGCATCATGGGATTGGCGGTCAAACTCGTTTTCATTTCCCTCAAACATATTTTTTTATAGTAAAATATTTACAGAAACTTTTCTTTTAGTAGTTATGGATGGGCTGGAACCATAAATTAAAACAGTAAAGTTAGTTTAAAGGGACTTTAAATTATATTGTCAATTACGTCATATCCGGTAAATGTCACACCCCCGGTAGAGGCAGGGCTGCTTCGCTATCTTGAATAGATTTTAGCAAATGGTTGATGAAGGAGTTGTATATTGTTATTTTTACGAAAACATCAGGATATATACACACGTGCCCTGTAATTGTACTCATTCTTACGAAAAATCGCATTTTTAAAGCGTGTAACATTGCATAACAGGACCTTATTGGGCTGGGGTTGTAAAATGAGTGTTTTTATCCGGGATTTAAGAATGAGACAGTCATTCTCCAGTGAGTCATTATGACACGTGTTTTTCTGATTCATCATCTCACCCTCTCAAAGAAAGAAAGAAAAAAATATATATAGATAGATAGATAGATAGATAGATAGATAGATAGATAGATAGATAGATAGATAGATAGATAGATAGATAGATAGATAGATAGATAGATAGATAGGTAGATAGATAGATGG